AATCCAAATGAAGTTAAGCCATTAAATTAAGAATCATAAAACACAACAGTAAATTAATGAAAGCTCGAAATCCCACTAGAGCACGAAGCGGGAGCTGAAATCCAAGAACCCCACAAACAAGAAGTGGATAAACTCCATAAAACCCACAAAACAGAGAAGGCTACACCAGAGGTTGGATCACAGCGATTGAAAGAGCAAACCAATAAAAACCCGAAAGAGAAAAACACTAAAAGAAGCAAAAAGAAAGAAAGAAAGAAAAAAGTACCCTGAAGAAGAAGCTTCTGAGCAGTCTCATTGGGATCCATGGAACATTCTTTAAGCATTGAATAAATCTCGTCATCACTGTGATTGCCCGTGATCTCCTTAATATTATCGATCGTCTTCCTCACACTGCTGGGGATTGAAGCCCTAGACCCACCACCACTCATCCTTCACGACCAAGAAACCCCAAATACAGGAAGAAGAAGAAGAAAGAAAACAAAATAAATCTTGAAAGAGAGTGAGAGAAAGAGAGGGCGTAGAAGTGAAGAACAACAATGGAGGGAAACCAGCAAACAGAGATGGGAAAACCAGCTGAGAGAAAGGGGAGAGGGGTTTGTAAGAAAAAATTGATCTATTTGGTGTGAGGAAGACGAGGAAGGAGAGAGTAGTAAAGGACTTTTTGGGTTTTTCACTTTTCTTTTTTTTTCTTTTATTATTAATAATATGAGAAATAAAAATATAATTATAAATTATGTAAATTTCAATTTAATTACTTTTAAAAATAGTTTATTACCTTATTTGTGAATTAGCGTAAAGATATTAATATATATATATATATATATATCCTAACCATTTTATTATATAATCTCTTATTATTTAAGAAAAATTAAACATTTTAATTTTCTTTAAAATATAATGAACAGCTAATTAATAGTTATTATTATTGTAAGTGAAAAATTAAATTATCATTTTATCCACTTAATTATACTCGAATTAATCTTACTTTTTATATTTATTATTGTACTACAAATTATTGTCGTTAAAAAAAATTACATCAAATTATGAAAATTAAAACAAGTGGTTTTAATAATTTTATTTTGATTTTTAAAATTTAGTTAATAATTCAAATGGCTGTTTTAATAAATAAATAAATAAATCATGGTTAAAAACAGTCCGAGTAAATATGCACAATTTTCAAAATAAAAAAAAAACCGTCTAATAAATATTTGTCCAATGGGATTTTTTTAATAAACTTAATTATGAAAAAAAGGTTTAAAATTTATTTTTTAATTTTGGGTAAATTCATCCAAATTAATCATTTTAATTATCATTGATATAAAATAACATTTATAAATTTAAGTTAAAACATATCGGATGATGAAAGTCTCATATAGACTAATTTAGGAAATGATCATACGTTTATAATTAATAAATACTATATATTGTGAGTTATTTTAGGAAGTTCAAAGCAAAACCATGAAAACTTATGCCGTTAAAATGGACGAGAGAATTTTTTTTTTTTTTTTTAAAAAAAAGAATGTGGTTGTTAGAACATGTTTTAGTATACAAACAAAAAGAAAAAGTTAATTTTTTCAACAAAAAAAAAATGTCAAATCACAATAATTTATAGGCTAGGTTATAAACGAACTAAAATAAAATAATTTTTGAAAAAAAAAAACTATCAAAGGAAGGGTATTATTTGTCACTATCAATAATTATTACAATTTATTAAATGTAATTAAATAAATAAATAAATTCATTACAAATTTTAAACGACAGTAAATATCCAACAACTTTCCATGGTCGACCCTCGTACGTGCCATTTTGAAGGCATGATTGAAAGCGTTATCAATGCAATAGTCACGTGTTCATTATTTTTGGCATGTGGAGTACGTGTGATTTTGGATGGTAAGTGTCACATTTATTTGTCAAATCACAATATAGTTTATAAATGAAATAAAATAAAATAATTTTTGAAATAAAAAAACTAAGGGTATTATTTTTCAAAATATTTTTAAATACTCATTTTATGTTATATTAAAAAAATATTAATAATTAACCTTCAATAATTATTACTATTTATTAATTGTAATTAAAAATAAATAAATAAATTCAATACGAATTTTAAACGAGAGTAAATATCCAACAACTTCCCATAGTTGGCCCTCCGCACGTGCCATTTTCAAGGCACGATTGAAAGCATTGCCAATACAATAGTCATGTATTGATTATTTTCGACATTTTGGATGGTAAATAACAGATTTATTTGTCAGATGAATAAATGAAATAAAATAAAATAATTTTTTAAATAAAAAAACTAACCAAGGAAGGGAATTATTTGTCAAAATATTTGTAGTTATATTAAAAAATATATATTAATAATTAACACGATCAATAATTATTACTATTTATTAATTGTAATTAAAAAAAATAAAAATTCAATACAAATTTTAAAAAATATCCAACAATTTCCCATGGTGGACCCTCGCACGTGCCATTTTGAAAGCACGATTGAAAGCATTATCAATACAATAGTCACCGTGTCGATTATTTTCGGCATGTGGAGTACGTATGATTTTGGACAGTAAGTGGCGCATTTTTATATAAAAACCATGACACATATGCCAAAACTACCCTTAACTAAACCCTTTGACAAGCAATACAGAGTGGGGCTTTTTCGTAATCTTATTAATCTCCAAACGATGGCGCGTAGCAATCCACCTCCCGCCCATAAACTTCATCTCCGTTGAACGTTATAAGTCAGAAACCACCGACCTCCGACGACCACCGTCAAAGCTTCAGCCGGCTGTTCATAGCTTCGTTTAGCTTCGTTTACGAAAGTCAGTGTGATCCATTTTCCGTTTCAGCTCCCTCACTCACGGTAATCGTTCAGGTATTTCATCCTCCGTACATTTTCACAGTTTCTCATTGCTATAGAAACACAGCGCCGCCGTAGCTCTCGTCTACCTATGCTTCAAGGTTGATCTTATTGTATAGTTCCGTTTTTTCCTGGTTGTTCTTCAGTGCGATGAATTTGTGGATTGAGTATTTCTTTGGTTTGTTTCGAGTGCGGGGATCATTTACACAAAAAGCAGAGTTGATCTGTGATAATGAAATTCTAACATGCTCAATTTGTGATCGATATTAAACTTTGCGTATGCTGTTATTGGATTGGGGGTTGATAGCTCTGTACTAATTTTTTGCTCTTTTACCGTTTCTTATAATTTGTAAACGAGGTCCAAATGTTCGGTGTCCTCTGTTTTCTTCAATAAATCACGTAAGTTTTTCATCTGTTCTTCAGTGATACGAGAATGCCAATGAAAATTGTTCGTGTTCCATTTCATTTGGAAAATGGCGATACTAAGATTGGGCTACCGCACGAGAGATTTATTGCTTTTTCAGAATTCTTAAGCTGTGCTTTCGAACTTTTTCATTGTAGTGAAGCCTTTTGATCGTGGATTTGGAGTCTTTGTTTTGTCTATGCTATTTTCTTGGTATAATTACACCGATAAATTGAGCATTCTGGAATTGTGCTGTGACGTTGTAGCATTTTTATGCTAAGTTATTTCTTTACTCTACTATGACTTGAAAGTTGAATAATTCACTAACCATAATCTCGTAGGAATATGCATTCACGATGGGGGGATTCCATGGAAAGTATATGGAAATAAAAAATCTTAGAAAATATACACATTGGAGATTACTTGTCAGTTTGGAGAGGCTGTGACATTATAGGGATTGTGGTGTAACACTCTAAGCCTACAGCTACCAGATATTGTCCTTTTGGCTTTCTCTTTTAGACTTCCCCTCAAGGTTTTTAAAATGCATCTGTTTGGGGAAGGTTTCTACACCATTATGAAAAATGCTTCGTTCTTTTCCCTAACCTATGTGGGATCTCACAGTCGGAACCATTTTTATTGGCATCCTCATAGCAATATTACTTTCAAGATCTTTTTTGGTAATGAAAAGATGGAAACAAAGAGGAGTTCCTACGGAAGTTGGTGAGGATCCAGGTTATGCCGTGACTGAACTTTCTAATGTTCGTTGGAAAGCGGCGACAACCATAGCAGCATTATTTTAGCAATCACGTCAAAAGCATTCAAAAAATATATTCCTTGGCTCAAGAAAGTTGATTTCCAAGGAATTTGTCATTGCTACTGATGGTAGGAAGTTTGAAAAACTTAACTTAGGTGAATGTGAATGGCAGGCTTATGGAGAAGTGTTTGATCGTGCTTGCAACTTTGCTTCTGGGCTTGTAAGGTTTAGCCATGATGTTGATACTCGTGTTGCCGTTTATTCGAAAACTCGTGCTGAGTAGTTTACTGCCTTTCAGGTTATCTTATTTGTTGTGCTTCAACATTTTTTCTCTACAGCTCTACCCTTGGTTTTAACCTTCAGAGCTTTTTATCTTCTTTGTTGCTTCTTCAGTTATTGTAGCTGTAGTATGGACTTCTGCATTGTAATTACAATCTTGAAAGTACCCTTGAGATCCCACATCGGTTGGAGAGGGGAACGAAACATTCTTTATGAGTGTCTGGAAACCTCTCCCTAGTAGACGCGTTTTAAAAAACTTGAGGGGAAGGCTGAAAGGAAAAGCCCAAAGAGGACAATATCTGCTAGCGGTGGGCTTAGGGTCGTTATAAATGGTATAAGAGCCAAACATCGGACGATGTGCCAGCAAGGACATTAGGCTCCGAAGGGGGGTGGATTGTGAGATCGCACATCGATTGGACAGAGGAACGAGTGTCAATAAGGACGCTGGGCCCTGGGGGGTGGACACTGGGCGGTGTGCCAGTGAGAACGCTATGCCCCGAAAAGAGGTGGATTGTGAGATCCCACATTTGTTGGAGAGAGGAACGAGTGTCAGCGAGGACGTTGGGCCCCAAAGAGGGGTGAATTGCAAGGTCCCACATCGGTTGGAGAGGAGAACAAATCATTCTTTATAAGTGTGTGAAAACCTCTCCCTAACCGACACATTTTAAAATTCTTGATGGGAAGTTCGAAAGGACCCAAAGAGGACAATATTTGTTAGCGGTGGGCATAGGGTTGTTCTTTCATTCATTTAACGCACCTTCTATAACTGATATGCCATTTTGACAAGGGCTAGCGTACACGATCTGCTGGTTACTTCAAGAACCCAGAAAAGACTAACAAGGTCTACAAGGTAACTTTTTTACCATATTTCCATTAGATTTCGGATTTCTGCTTACAACAGAATGGTGAGAAGTGCATGTGCTAGTTTTACTTGGGAGATATAGGAACATTTCATCATGATGGATGCCTTGAGATCATGGATAGGACGAACTTCAGGATGGAGAATATATATCCCTAGGGAAGGTGAGGTTTTAAACTTCAAATTTTGCTCCTAACATATTGGGTTTAAATTCTTCTTCTGTTCATATAGGCCGAGGCAGCCCTACTGTCGAGAAAGTACGTGGATAATGTTATTATGGTATATGCATATCCCTTTCACAATTATTGTGTACCTCTTGTTGTCACTTTGCGTCCAGCCCTTGAGAAGTGGGCCAAAGAAGCTGGCATCAATTATGGGGACTTTTCTCAGCTATGTGAAAATGGTGAAACCATTAGTGAGTTTTCAAGGTTTGCTAATTCTACTCTTATCTATTGAAATGCAGAAGAATAATAGAAACAGTCCAATGAAAACAGAAAAGATGCGATAATCCGTTCCATAGGTTATTGCATAATTCAATTGGCAAGGCACTTTTGTAATTGGTAGGTATAAATTTTCTGTTGGGAATCACGAACCTCCTCAATGGTATGATATTTGTCCAGTTTGATCATAAGCTCTCATGACTTTGTTTTTTGTTTCCTCAAAAGGCCTCGTATCAATGGAGATGTATTGTTTATTTATAAATCCATGATCAACCCCTTAATTAGCTGATGTGGGCCTCTTCTCCCAACAATCCTCCCCTCAAATAAGTCTCTCCGGAAGTCTATGGAGCCCTCGAACAGCCTCCACTTAATCGAGACTTGACTCCTTTCTCTAGAGCCCTCGAACAAAGTACACTATTTGTTCGATACTTGAGTCACTTTTGTCTACACCTTCGAGACTACCAACTTCTTTGTTCGACACTTGAGGATTCAATTAGCACGACCAAGTTAAGGGTATAACTCTGATACCATGTTGGGAATCACAAACCTCTACAATGATATGATATTGTCTACTTTGAGGATAAACTCTCATGGTTTTGCTTTTGGTTTCTCCAAAAAGCCCTGTAAGAGATGTATTCATTACTTATAAATCAATGATCATCCTCTTAATTAGTCAACTCTCCCAACGATGTCGATCTTCCTTTATTAGTAAGATTAGCTTGAATCTCTTGGTGGACTCTGATTATTCATATTCATTCTTTTAACTTCAGAATGCAAATTTACATGGCTAATACTTTGTGTATGCAGAACGAGATCCCACTTCTGAACAATGCATTATTTTTAATAACTTTACAGATAGCAAAAGATGCAAAGTTACAAAAAGTTCCTGGCAAAGGTATGTTGGTACAAGATCCACGGACCCCAAAGTCGGGAGGAGCGGCTGCTTCTGCTTTAAAGCTAAGAAGGGAAGAAGGCAAGGCAAAAATTCAAGAACGAACTCGAACAGCTATACAGGTAATTAAATACTGCCTGGTTTTTCACTTTAGTACACAGCACATGGATCTCCACATACTTAATTAGGTTTACCAATAATACTCCTTGCATGAAAGACACTCATCTTTATGCTAAAAGTATATATTTCTTAGTTGAGCACAGAGCATGGGACGACTTGGATTGATAGCCATTTGATTTTGGTTTTTGATCCTTGAAAATTGTGCTCGATGGCTCGGTATCTCATAAATCTTTACGATGTTTTTCATCTCTTTTAAGATAATATTTGATTTCTTACTTAAATTTAGACCGAAAATAAACTTCTGTATCTAAATAAACAAGGTTAGAAGGGAGTGTTGGATGAAAGTCTCACTCGACTAATTTAAGAAATGATCATGGTTTTATAACCAAAGAATACTCTCTCCATTGTTATGAGGTCTTTTGAGAAGCTCAAAGTAAAACCACCTCAAGCTTATCCTCAAAGTGGACCGTATCCATACCATTATAGAGAGTTGTGTTCATTTAATAGGGAATAGAGTTTTTTTTTTCTTTGATTCTCGTTTGCATCTTCACCATGGACAAGACTCGGTCAAATAAAAAATAAAAGCCATTTGCGATATATTCTATACCAAGTCTATGTTATGATATTAAACGATATGAAAAAATAAAAGCCATTTTGGATATATTCCATACAGAGTCTATGTTATGATATTAAACGATATGAAAATTATAGTGAATCAGAATTAAGAACTTGTATGGAGTGCAAACTCGTAATTTACGGTCACTAAAATCTCTAAAATTGAATTAATAATAAAAAGAAGGATAAAATTAGAATAATAAATATCTGATTTCAAATATTTTGCTATATTTGTGAGTTTGAAAATATATTAAATAAAGTTGCTATTTGGTTTTTCATTTTTTGCTATTTACCAATTCTTTACAATATTAATTTCATTTTATTTTAGAATTTTTATTTTATTTTTTCATATACACAATACTATTTCTTTTCAGTTAATGAATTTAAAGTTGAGTTTAAAATGTACCATCAATTTTATTTTTTATTTTATAATTTGTATGTATTTTATTATCAATTGAACGTGATAAATAATGTAAAAATACGCTTTTTATAAAATATTTTGTAATATTAAATTATAATTATTTTATTTTATTTTCTCACTTATAGAATAATATTTATGTTTAATTAATAATAATAATGTTAGGAAGGCGTTTGAAATTGATATTATCAAATATTTTGTGAAATTAACAAAGTGTTATTTTAGAATATAAACATATAAAAATATTATTTATTAAACACCAACACAAGTTTTGCTTATGTCAATTGGCGCGCGTCCACAACCGTCAAAAACGACGACGACCTTTTTATTGGCTTCTCTGGCGATAAGGTTCCTTTTCTCTCTCGTCCTCGAGCTCAGTCATGGCTGAAGCTTCAAGGATTTTCTATTCTCCGCTTGTTCCCAACTTCCGTCCGCTCCAGAAGACGCATTCAACCAAGCCCTACACAGCATCTTTTCGCAGACATTCGATCAATTGCTCTGTCTCCACAAGTGACAGTGCTAGAGTGGCAGCGACCGGCCCGATTCCATGGGGTTGCGAGATCGATTCGCTGGAGAATTCTTCTGCTCTACAGAAATGGCTGTCGCAGTCTGGTCTCCCTGACCAGAAGATGGCGATACAGAGAGTGGATGTTGGAGAGAGAGGACTTGTGGCTTTGAAGAATGTTAGGAAAGGGGAGAAATTACTGTTTGTGCCGCCCTCGCTCGTTATTTCCGCAGACTCGGTAAGTTTTCCTGACTGGAAGTTCTGGTGGAAATTCTTGAAATGTGAGGAACTGATACGCTGACCAATTTGAGAATATTTAAGTAGTCTGCAAAACGTTTGGTAAATTTTGTTCAAGTAGTTTTGATTGTGAAACCCTATTATTCCGTTGATTCACCTGAAGTTTAGCTTGTTTTTGACCAAGAGGCGTAGGATGTGATTGAAAATTTAGCGGATGAAGTCCTTTTCTTTGAAGGAGTAGGACAGGGGCAAGTTACAAATTTTCATTTTTCATAGATAAACTTTTGTTTACAACCTTTCAACTGTGAGTCAAATTAAATGGACATTCATTCCATTTTCATCGTCATCTATCCTTTCCACTCTCAGCATGTACTGTGTTGTCTATGTTAGGAGTGGAGCTGCCCCGAGGCTGGGGACGTGTTAAAACGTAATTCAGTACCAGATTGGCCACTTATTGCAACCTACTTGATTAGCGAAGCAAGTTTAATGAAATCATCAAGATGGAACAACTATATATCAGCCTTACCTCGGCAACCTTATTCACTTTTGTACTGGTCAGTTACTTTATGGTCCAAGTAACTTTATTTTTTTTTGTGTCTGGTATTTATACTCAGTCCTTGCCCATATAGCCTCTCTTCTATCATTTCAGGACACGTGAAGAGCTAGATCGATATCTGGAAGCATCAGAAATCAGAGAAAGGGCAATAGAAAGGATCACAAATGTTGTTGGAACGTAAGGCTATATTTCCTCACTGCTGATTTTCTTATTAAATTTTGTTAAACTGCTATGTAACTGTAGGATTTTCAATCAGTGTCCTAAATCATTCCAGTACATCATTCTGTAGTTCATTAAACAATAAGTTTTTCTTCTGTGATTTTTGGTGCAGATACAATGATTTAAGGGACAGAATATTTTCCAAATATCCTGAATTATTCCCTGAGGAGGTATTGAGTTCTTTACTCTCCAAGAAGTCGGCCCACCATCAGTTTATAACTTTGCTTTATTCACACTGGAATTTGTTCAACCTTTTCTCCAGCTGCTGTCAACTTCCCCAATACACAAACATTTCTCCGTTTTGGCTGGTCTATACTGTTTTTCTGGCATTCCCCTAGGTTTTTGGTATTGAAGAGTAAAACTTTTTTCAGCTTCATGGTTGTCTATTAAAACCTTTGTTCTCTTGAGAAGTTTTGATCAACCAAAAAAATAACAGATTCTTGTCATTTTTACGCAAACTACAGTACAGTGCTTTTTTAGTTTAACCCAACATTTAGTTCCGTGAAACTTGGCTTAGACATTTAAGAATTATGTCTACGTAATTCAATTTCATTTCCTAATTTGGGAGAAAATTGAAAATATATAGTTCTGCTTGCCATACAGTGTGCATGACTAGGTTTCAATCTGGGGCATAAACTGTTGGCAAACCCCAATTCTCTCAACTCTTGTTTACTTGAAACATGATTAACTTGATTCTTCCTGGATGTTTGATTTTCAGGTATTCAATATTGAAACTTTCAAGTGGTCATTTGGGATTCTTTTCTCCCGCTTGGTAAGTTGGGCTAATCAAATACTATGCTAGCGTGGCATGCTTAACTAGCTATAGAACAAAGCATAAAAATATAGTATGGGGATTGATTTACAAAAAACATTTGGCTGCAACCATATATAAGACATCACAGTCAATAATGTTTGCTGAAATGGTATTAATCTATTGAAGCTGTAAAGCCTTCACTTTTTTTTTTTTTTCCATGTTTATCTTCCCTGCCCCCATTTCTCTCTTTTTTTTTTTTTTGGTGGGGAACAATCGTTCGTGTGTAATTTGAATGCTGACGAGATCATATTTCTTTTAATCCCAGGTTCGGTTACCTGCAATGGATGGAAAGGTTGCATTGGTTCCCTGGGCTGATATGCTGAATCATAACTGTGAGGTACGTTAATTGGTATTTTTTTGAAAGCTGTAAGTTGTGATGTTAGAATTGAAATTTAACTCTTGCAACTATAAATGGCTGGCCCAGGTGGAGACTTTCTTGGATTATGATAAAGCATCCCAAGGCATTGTCTTCACAACAGATCGAGCATACCAACCAGGTGAGCAGGTAAAAGAACATTTAAAATTTTCATAATGAATGAATCTGATGAGATAATGTAATACTGAAATTTCATGTGAACTTCAATTAAACGAAAATGGAACTATGTCAAACCTGCTAGTCGTATTAGATCTTGAGTCCATGCTGAAAAATGTTGGCCAGAAACGGTAGAAAGAAGGATAAAAAACGTTCTATAACTTCTTGCTCCCAAAGGAACTTTTCCCATAGAGATGAAACTTATGTTAACTGCAAAATTTTGTCTTATTTATGCTTCATGGTTACTTTAATCACGGATAATTGCAGGTGTTCATTTCTTATGGCAAGAAATCTAATGGGGAGTTGTTGTTGTCATATGGTTTTGTTCCAAAGGAGGGAACCAATCCTAGCGATTCTGTTGAGTTGTTACTCTCACTAAAAAAATCTGATAAATGTTACAAGGAGAAGCTGGAAGCACTGAAAAAGCATGGATTAAGAGCGTGAGTATAAAGAAACTGATGAGTTCTTCACCATTTAACTTTCTCAAACTTATATTTTTTAAATTAAAGGATATCTTCGAGTTATTCCTTCATAAACATTCATCTTTAATTTCTGGTGCAAATTTTAATAATTAATGGAAAACCTACCACATGTTGGTTAGTTCCTCCCACCTTTCTTTCTCTTGTTAAAATATCTTGTTATTTTGTTGATCGCACTGAATAAATTTATCATGGCAGATCCCAGTGTTTTCCTATTCAAATCACTGGCTGGCCTTTAGAATTAAAGGCATTTGCTTATTTAGCTGTCAGTCCACCAAGTATGAGCAAGCAGTTTGAAGAGGTTTGGTTGACAACCTCTTTTCTACTCCTGTTCTTGATCTGCAAAATCTGTCTCAATGTGTGTCTGTGTTTATTGGCTACCAGATGGCTGCTGCAGCATCAAATAAATCAACAGCAACGAAGGACTTAAACTACCCTGATATAGAGGAGGAAGCCCTGCAGTTCATATTAGATAGCTGCGAAATGAGCATATCTAAATATAACAAATTCTTGCAGGTAAAGGATAAAGAATATGTCGATTCTATTATTCTAGTGGAAATTTACAACTCAACTTAACAATGAACATCTGGTTCTTGTCATGCTTGCTCATAATGGCTGTAGCAAAATCAATATTAATTTTGCAAGATGATAGTGATGACTTGAAAAAGCACATTTCTTAACTCGTCTTTGCAGGCAAGTGGATCCATGGATTTGGACGTGACGTCACCAAAACAACTGAACCGTAGAGTATTTTTAAAACAGCTAGCGGTAGACTTGTGCACGAGCGAACGAAGGATACTTTTTCGGAGCCAATATGTAAGTCCACACGATCCCATATCTGCAGCTTCCCTTTTCCTTCATGAAAATGAAAACCTTTCACATTTTCTGGTTGCTGCTGTGTAAAATTAAGTTAAATGGCATGTGACTGTCATTTGTTAAGTGCATCTTGAAGGTTGAGACCTTTTATTTGAACTTTCTTAAAAAAAAAATGTGATTGCGGTTATTGATATCTTGAGTACGGATGTTTCAGATTCTGAGAAGAAGATTGAGAGACTTGAGAAGTGGTGAATTGAGAGCTCTGAAACTGTTCAGAGGGTTTGGGAAACTTTTTAAATGATTGGTTGTTTGTGTGTATAAATATCTCTGGACTGTTAGATTGTGAACACGCTAGTCCTTACAGAAACTCGTGCCATCCCGCCTCGCCGTGGTGGCAATGCTTAGTTTCGTGCTCGAGAATTAAGGAGGCTGGTCTATATAGAAAGTGAAACAGGCAAAAGATCCCCCATCACCACCACCACCTCTTGGTCTGTATCATCACAGTGTAAGTTCTATATTTTGTTGCATGAGTATTGAGTATACTTGACTGAAAATTTTGATTTCTGGAGCTAGTTGCTTTTGATTCAACAAATTCTTAATTTCATTCCGATATTCTGCTGTTTACTTCTATTGTTCACATCAACAAGTTTTGGTAGGTTGGGGATATCATTATTGCCGAAACCAATGCCTGCATCGCATTTGTGGGAATCTAATCTAAGCCGTGGTTTTCTTCGTGAGGGATCCGTTCCCTGACCAATTCGAAACAAAAATAAATAGAAACATAGTTCCAATAAAGGGAACCCACGGACCATATTTTTCGCCAATTTTGGTTTTGCTCAGTCTCGAATGAATTCAAGGACATATTCTAGAAAACTAGTCGTTTCTGAATTATATGAAGCCAGTAAGCAAACAGCGAGTCCATGGGTATTTGAACCCGAGTATCCGGAAAAAAGCAGAATTCTCAGCTGGAGAACAACCCTGGTTGATGGATTTTTTTCATGCCTTTCGAATACCATTTTATCTAAAATTTTTACAATGTTCTCAACTTTCTAGTTTCTTTAGTATATAATTCAAATATATTTTGGCAAGTAGTTATTTGAGGATAGTTTGACATTAAGTTCATCTTCACGTAAATAAAAATAAAAAGTATTACGAATCCAATATGATAACGGCAAATATAATTTTTAAAATTCGAGCCTAAATTGAAACTTTTGCGAACCCAAATGGTAATTTAACCCTTCAAATTCTTGAATACAAATAGAGTATTTGTAAATTCTTAATTTTTTTAATAGAAAAATACAAAGTGAGACCAATTTTAAAATTAGGGAAAACTATTTTTTTTTTTTTTAAGTTCCAACTTTTTCTGGCTCTAAGTTCCGACAACAAAATAGTTTTGACCTCATTTTTCATTTTGCCGCAACCCCCACAATTCGCCGATATAAAGCAAGCTGCTTCACAAAAGGAGGGCTTTCGAACGAGCTAGAGTTGAACGGCAATGGAGGGTCTTGCTTCCCTCGGAACAATCCCCAAGGTTTCCTTTCCACCCATTTCCTCTTCTATTCGCAGGTCCAAGTTTCTCTCCAGAAGGTTGAATTGTCGGCCTTCCATGGACGCTTTGTCGAGGAATTCAATCTCTGTTGCCTCTTCTTCTTCCCCCATTTCCCCTGCCATCCGAGCTCAACAGGTTTGGATTTCGACTTCTACGTTATTCTTTGTTGGGGTTTAGGGTTTTTCTTTGTAGTTCGTGCATTCGTGTTTCTTTGTGCTTAATCTGCATTTTCCCATCTGAGAAGATTTAGATTTCTCATATATTCATCCAAATAGTCGAATCCTTGGAGGAATTGTTTCGTAATGAGTGCATATTATGTGTTTTTTAGACAGAATCCGAGGCTGGATCAGCTGCGGCTTCCCCAGTTAATGAATCAGAAGAAAATGATCTGAAAGTGAAGGAGTGGGAAGTGGGGATGTTCCAAGATGAAGTAGCAGCAAGTCAAGGCATAAGGATTCGTCGTCGGCCGCCCACCGGGCCGCCATTGCATTACGTTGGACCTTTTCAGTTCAGATTACAGAATGAAGGGAACACTCCTAGGAATATTTTGGAGGAGATCATATGGTACAAGGACAAGGAAGTTTCACAGGTAACATTATGTGGGAGCTTTGATTGATTTGTATTCCCATATTTTAGGATGTTGTCTGTGGGCTGATAGAGTTTTTGGTTTCTGAATGTTTCTAGATGAAAGAAAGAAGGCCTCTCTTTTCGTTGAAAAAGGATCTTGACAGCGCCCCTCCTGCTAGAGATTTCCTTGGAGCTCTCAAGGCTGCCTATCTTAGAACTAACTTACCTGGTTTGATTGCTGAAGTGAAAAAGGCTTCACCTAGCAGAGGAGTTCTAAGGGAGGATTTTGATCCAGTGAGTGTTCTTGACTTGTTATTTTGTTGTTATATTTCATAAATCTCTGCACAGTTTTCGCAGTACCAAATTTTGATTTGATTGGTTTGTATACTAAGAGGTGTTTTAGGCCTAAGAAGTATGAGTTTGTGAAATCTTTGTTTCGATTGTAAAAGAAATAGGTTATAAGAACCTAAGTTTGTGTAACTCGTAGTTAGTAGGTGTTTACGATCTTATAAGTTTTTGTATCATTTGAAGAATAGGTTGAGTGTGGGTTTATTAAACACGAGTTCACGTAGTATGTGAAATTAACTACTCTGTAGTATGGGAGAAACAACTCCACATAGGAAATGATGTTAGGTTTCTTAACCGAAGTTAAATAAACGCGATCTTTGAGCTAAGCACTACTTAGATGTTTGTTTTTCCCCCTTGAGAAACTAAACTTTTATTGAAAACAAACGGAAGTGTGAGATCCTACATCGGTTGGAGTAGAGAACAAAACATTCCTTATATGGGTGTGGAAACCTCTCCCTAGTAGACGCGTTTTAAAACTGTGAAGCTGATGGGGATACGTAATGGGCTAAAGCGGACAATAATTGCTAGCGGTGGACCTGGGCTGTTACAAATGGTATGAGAGCCAGTCACTGACTCGCTGGCCCCCAAGGGAGTTGGATTGTGAGATCTCAAATCGGTTGGAAAGGGGAACGAACATTCCTTATATGGGTGTGGGAACCTCTCTCTAGTAGACGTATTTTAAAATCGTGAGGCTGATGACGATACGTAGCAACCTAAAACGAACAATATCTGCTAGCGGTGGGGTTGGACTATTACAGAAAGAAAGCAAGACAAAAGGTCCACGGGCTGATAAAAGGAAAACAGCCACGCTAAAGGAGACTAGCACCTAACTATACAAAAAATGCTCAAACTCCAATCCCCTGCAATAAAACCTCTTAAATGTTCGTAAAACACACAAATAGCATTTGCATTGTTGCTTTGCATTACCCTAACCTTTTGTGCTATCTCATCATTTTTAACAAATCATTGGGGTTACTTTTGTGTTATGCTGTTGATGGAAAGGGGTAAAAATGAAGATGTGCTAGGTGTTTATTGTCACGCCCCGTTTTGTCGAAATGTTGTAGTAGGCCTCAAACTGGGAGTGTAGGGATGAATAAACTTGACATGTTTTACCTAGGATCGGTTACGCTTTGTTTTCCCGAGTTTGTTAAGTGCATCAAACTGGAACCTACCAACTGTGTGTACGTGCCTAAAACTTCAGCTATCACAATGCTATGAAATTTGAGCTTTTTAACTAGTAAAGCTCAAGATTCAACTACTTGTTAAAGTAGCACGTGTTTATCTAGCTACTTTTGCTTTGAAGTAATCGAGTCGTTTTTATTTAATGTAAATTTGATAAATGCTAATAGGTTGAGATTGCCCAAGCGTACGAGAAAGGCGGAGCAGCATGCCTTAGTGTTCTCACAGACGAGAAGTTTTTTCAGGTGAAGAGCATTTTAGGAGTTCTGCCATCCCTTCTATCTCTTGGACGGTGTTTTTTTAAAAATCCATTTCCTAAGTTTAACATCTGTTGTTTTTGGGGATTAGGGAAGCTTTGAGAATCTGCAGAAGATAAGGAATGCCGGAGTGGAGGTTTGTCATATTTGATCATAATTTTACATATTGGTATGTGAATTGTACTTATAATAGTAGGAAACATATGCATATGCATATGCAGTGCCCTCTCTTGTGCAAGGAGTTTGTGGTCGATGCATGGCAGATCTACTATGCTCGATCCAAAGGTGCCGATGCCATTCTTTTGATTGCTGCTGTTTTGCCTGATCTCGACATTAAATATATGACTAAAATCTGCAAGATGGTCGGTTTGACCCCCCTCGTTGAGGTAACAATGTCCTGTCGTTTTTAGGGGCATCTTGTATATGTTGCTTACCATTATTGTACAAGCTTTTGATCTCTTTATTTGTAGGTTCACGACGAGAAGGAAATGGACCGTATGCTTGCGATCGAAGGCATTGAGCTTATTGGCATCAACAATCGGAATCTTGGTAATGCTTGACTAATTTTGTTACGTCGTTCATATTGCTAAACACCTCGTTTCTCCATTGATAAATATATTGCATTAATTTGTACCAAACTACTATCTCTTAGGTTGTGAGATCCTACATCAGTTGGAGAGAGGAACAAAGCCTTACAAGGGTGTTGAAACCTCTCCCTAGTAAACACATTTTAAAACCTCGAGGGAAAGCCTAAAGAGGACAATATTTGCTAGCGGTGGGCTTGGGCTGCTACAAATGATATTAGAGCCAGACACCGGGAGGTGTGCCAACGAGGATGTTGGGCCCCCGGGAGGTGGATTGTGAGATCCCACATCGGTTGGAGAGCGGAACATTCCTTATAAGGGTGTGGAGATCTCTCTCTAGTAGACGCGTTTTAGAACATTGAAGGAAAGCTCAAAGAGGACAATATCTGCTAGTGGTGGGTTTGGGCTGTTACATAGTTCATTGTAGGAACGACCGTTGCTTTAAACTAGTTTTAGTATTCTGAAACACGAGCAACTGTCTGCTCCTTGCTTTTGAAGCGCTCAGCAACATCACTCATTGATAGTTATATTACTTGTATACTTGTTTGTAAAACAATATCTTACAGAAACATTCAAGGTCGATATCAGCAACACAAAAAAGCTTCTCGAAGGAGAGCGTGGACAAAAGATCCGCGAGAAGAACATAACCGTAAGTATAAAGTAGACAGTTCTGCTGTTTGACAACTTCTCATCAAACTAAATTGTTACACCAAATGAAGAACACATCAAACTTTTACCTCATCTGATATTCCCTTGTTTGTTGTGAGGATTGTTCAGATAGTGGGAGAATCTGGGCTGTTCACTCCTGATGATATTGCTTATGTGCAAGAAGCTGGTGTTAAAGCTGTAAGCTTCTCATATTTGTTTTCATGGCTTCCTTTGTTGCATCAGCCATGGAATTTGAGATTGTTTAACGTGGTTTCTGCAGGTTCTCGTTGGCGAGTCGATTGTGAAACAGAGCGACCCGACGAAGGGAATAGCCGGGCTTTTTGGCAAAGATATTTCTGCTTAAAGCTTTTAGGAAGCTTGAAACTACTGTATGTTGAACATGTTTTGATACCCATTTGGCTCTGATCTTATGAACCTATGGTATTGAGTTGGAACTGATTACATCCCAAAATGGAAAAATAAAGCTCAAGCTATATATTTATACCATAACTGTTGGTGCTTCTTTTGGGAGATCCGTTGAGAGGGGAACAAAACATTTTTTTGTGGAAACTCTTTACAAAACTTGTTTAAAAACCTTGAGAGGAAGCTCGAAAGGAAAAGCTTAAAGAGGACAATATCTACTAGCGGTGGACTTGGGCCGTTACAAATGATATCAGAGCCAGACACCGGGAGATGTGCCAGTGAGGAGATTGAGCTTGGTTGGGAGGTGGACACGAGACAGTGTGCCAGCAAAGACGCTAGGTTTCGAAAGGGGGCGGATTGGAGGGTCCCACATCGATTGGGGAAGGGAGTGCCAGCGAGAACCCTGGGTCCTAAAGAGGGTGGATTGCGAAATCCCACATCTCCCACATCAGTTGATCCTAGGCTCTAATAGACGCGTTTTAAAAATCTTGAAAGGAAAAACCACCGACAATATACTTGGACTATTGTATCTTCTTTTTATGTAGGAAAATAATTGGTGTTTTATGTCAATCTAATCTGATGATTTATCTTCTGGCGTTTTTCGATCATATAATTGACGTGTATTGATTTGAAGGTTTAAATTTAATTTATTTTTTAGTTTAAATTTAATTTTTTTTAGATGGGTATAATTTTTTTAAATGAATTGATAATTTAGAGTTATTTCTATTTTAAGAATTTTTATTTAACTTTGGGCATAAAAGTTATATAAATTATTATTATAAAATTTATAATATTTGGTTGTCATTTAATTTTAAATATTTATAAGATAATTAATTTAAATTTGATTTAGATATGTTTTTTCAATTTTAATAGAAAAAAGGAAAAAAAATTTGAAAATGTGGAGCGTAGATTAATATATTAAAAAGTCACAAAAAAAAAACCATTAAAAAAATGATATTTTATTAATGAATAATGTAATAATTATTTTAATAAATTAAAAAAAAAATCACAAAATGAGGTGAAAATTGCAGGCGGTACGAGCGCGCGTGAAAATACGAACTTCCACGGCTTATCTATAGGAACTTCCACGGTAATTCGTCCCTGTTTCTCCGGCCATGTTCTCTGCCGGAGCCGCGGCCTCCGGCGACCTGGAGTTCCGGTACGACGATAACGCGTGGTACAATGTGACTGTGAAACTCGAAGGCGATGTTCTTAGGATCAGTATTTCCAAGTTCGCTGGGGAGCACGACAATGTCTTCACCGCCAACCATTTCCGGAGCTTATCGGAGTTGAGCGACATCGAAGGTAGGTTTCGGCCTCTGTCCAGACAGTTGCAGGATTTCGAATGCCCTAACATCGACCCTGGCATGCCTGTTTGTGCTTCCTACTCCTCTCGAGCCGATGATGTTTGCTTCTACGACGCTCTTGTGGAAGGGGTTCGTTCTTTTACTTTACACTTTTCCTGTTGTTCGAATCTTGAGATTGTCGCTGGAAATTACTATGGAATATGGATTAAGCATTGATTTTCTGTATGAATTTAAAACTTCAATCTTTTATTCTAACACTTTTGATCATTTTTGTTCTTAAATTTATAAAAACATCATTTCTTTTGATTAAGTTATATTGATAAAAATGGAATATGAATTGTTTCAACATTTGAGGATTAGAATGAAGGTCCACATGAACTTAGTTCAACCATACTTTGACATGTATTCCTTCCCTTGAGATTTGAAGATGCTTAATTCAAAGTTTCAGAATGTATTTGTTCAATTGGAAGACTTGGCATTTTCATTTTCTCCATGACTCGTGCATTGGTATAGGTGGATTATCTTGAACACTCTTATGCAAATGGAGAAGAAGAATGCTTATGCAACTTTATCATTTTCTGGCAGAATGGTCCAAACTTTGGGAATTTTGCAATTGCCAGTATTGCTAACATGTGTGAAATTCAATTTAGTAAAATTAATGACGCAGTGTTAGCAACTTTCTTCAGGAAAGTTAGGGAGAAAATCCAAACCAAAATGAATAGAGGTGATTCCTCGTCTGAAGGTCGCCTTCCCACCCATAATGGTGGTGGTGCTTATCAGAAGGATGACTGCCGCCCCAATTAAAGAGCCGGCTATCCTTTTTTGGACGCATGAACCAGGTGAGTACTATTTCTAGAGCTCAATTTCACAAAGCAAAAAGTTGTTACATTCCAACTTCCATTTACATTAGAGGACTCCATTTCATGCTCCATTTCTTGATGGCTCTCTCCATTTCTAGGACACATGACGTGCCAAGCGTTCTTCTGGGACGGTAAAGCCATGTGAAGGTACAATTTATTATTTAGTGAATGAACCTAATCTTTTAGTTATCTCTATTGGATGATGAAAGTCCCACATCTACTAATTTAGGGAATGATCATGGGTTTATAATCAAGTAATACTCTCTCCACTCGTCTGAGGCCTTTGGGAAAAGCCCAAAGCAAAGCCATAAGAGTTTATGCTCAAAGTGGACAATATCATACTATTGTGGAGAGTCGTGTTCATCTAACATGGTATCAGAGCCATACCCTAATTAGAACTGTGGTATCTTAATCATGCACTAATGAATACTTCTTTAATCACTATTTTGTTTCTTAATTGAACTTATTTTTTCTCTCCATAGATCAACAGACTCTCAATCCCAGAAAAAGTGAGGTAATCAAGCAAGATGCTGATATTGGTGGAATGAAGTATCAGTACATGATTTTACTTGAGAATCTAGATAAAGGAATCTCTCCAGTAAAACTTGCCAAATTCTTGCATGGAGAAACATTGATATTGCCTCGTGTATACATTTTCCCGAGCTTAACATATGAGTTGTATGCAAGGGGCGCTGTTGTATTGAATTGCAGAACGAACCTAGAGAAGTTGTGTGATTTTTTGGATAATCCAGAGCATGTCATTTTATCCTCCCAAGGAAGGTAAACATTTTCCCTAAATGAAATTTTGAAATAAATGTGCTGACTATCTTGGATTTAATAATTTAACTCTAAGAAAATATCTAACGTGCTTCCAGTTAACACACTAGAAAAAATTTATAGAGTAATGATAGCGCCTAGCTTCTATAATCCTTGACTGTTTAGATTTGTTTCCATTTTATAGTTTGGGAGTTTTCCACTCATTTTCTTCAGGCCCTTGGTAGTAACTGGACGGGTTGCAAGGCACGAAACTTTCGGGGCAATGGCGGCTGGAGTCATGGTGCTAGACTCGGAGGTGAGTTCTTATTTACTCTGTTTGAACATTTTTTGTTGTAACAGGAGTTGCCCTGTTGATCTCTGATAGTTGCATTTGAAGTAGAATTTAGAAAAATGAAAGAAGTATCCAATTTTCAATTAATCAAGCAACGTGTATTATGGTCTGGATTCTTAGTATAAATAATAAGAATCCCACATGATCTATCTATTTCTAGTTTCTTAAATCAACCCCATTTCATCATAGAACTGCAAGATAAACCAGAGTCAACATTGAACAGGGAAGATAAAACAATTTAGCTCAGTACTAATCAAGGAATTTAACTTTTGGTATCAAACTTCTGATGGGTGTTGCTGTTGCTGTTCACTTTGATTGGTTACAGAATAAATTCGGTAACGAAAAAGACGGTCGTGTGTGTTGCGAGCTGAAGGTTGTGAGATTAGGAACAAATGAGTATTCGACTGCTAAGCATTTGAAGGAGTTGTTCATGGAGTTTCTTAGCCATCAGAGGAGATTGCACCAAAGATTAGCCATGGAGGAGCAAGATATTCTGCAGTATGAACCCTAAATGAATCATAGGTCAGTTGGATAGGCTTCTTGTTTGAATTTTGTGTTAGATTTTGATTTTGATCAACTGAATATTTATTGTTAAAAGAACCCTTTAATATTTATTAGTTATGAATTATGAATATATCTTAAATATTATATTTGGTATATTTGATTTGTATTATATTATATTATAAATATTTAATTAGTTTATATTTTACTTATTTTTAGGTATTAATGGATAGCGGTTATGAATATTAATGAAAATATATACCTTCGATCCCATTCTATTTCTTATTAACATTTTCTAAACTTTATAAAGTTTTTTTAATATTTCTTTTTTAAAAAAATAAAAGTACATTTACCTCAAACTAAATTTAAATAATACCCATAAAATTTTAAAATTAGTATCATAAGTTGCAGACATTAATTAAGCTTTTGAAAATTTAAAAATATTTTTGAAACATTGGTTATTTTTTTTAAAACTATTAAGGCCATTTTTTAAATCGTTTTAAAAGTTCAACGGGATTTTTTAAATAAAGTATTGACCGCTTCCGTTCAAGGTAATTTTCTAAAATATTTTTAAAATATTATTCAATTACGCAAATAAACTTTAAAGTAATGTCTTTTATATTTATGAACTCTCTCTCATTTCTAATATATTATTAAAATTTTAATTTTGTGTTCAATGAATAAGTTAGAGAGGGGAGTCGGTTAAAATATCATCACTAACTCAATAGGGTTTTGTTCTCTTCTCGATCACTATCCCAAGAAATCACAATCAAACAGTAATATTCTAACGAGTGTCTTGTATTCTCTTCTCGATAGATATTAATAAAAAGTGCGAGTATTTTTCACAGAGAGTTTTGTTCAACAGAGACTCGATAATATACTTTATTCGAACATTAGTAGATGGTGATTCCCAAACTAAAATGTTTACACTTTAGGGTTTGAATATTAAAATGAGGTCACTAGAAGAGAGAAGAAAAAAAGCCTTGTGTCCACTATGCTTCCTTGTTGGTCAAAGCATCGTCATCCATCCAATAACATACCGACACGTCGCAATCCGACATCTTAAGGTTTTTTTTTCTTTTTTTTCTTAGTTGGAAACATTTTGATTTCTTACATTATTCGAACTCCAACTGCGCCACCGCTCGTTTTGACCCCTCATCTGATCTCGGATCAAATACCCTTTAACTTATTACAATTCTCAGATTCTCTTTTCCCTCAATTGGCGGTAACTGTTTGTTCATCCCTTCTTTCTCTCAATTTCGAGGTAATTTACAAACCCTTTTGCTTTTTCCTTTCCTTTTTCTTATATTCGGTCATCACAGATCGTGAAGATTTGACTTCTTTTTCATATGGGTCTTTGATTCTTTGAAGTAATGGAGCGATGGGCTATGAGACGTGTGGTGATGATGGCATTTGCCGGTGTATTGCTGTTGAATTTGAGACAATCAGAAGGGCTTAGGTTTGTGATTGACAGAGAAGAATGTTTCTCTCACAATGTTCAGTACGACGGCGATACTGTTCATGTTTCTTTTGTTGTAATCAAGACAGATTCTGGATGGCACTATGGCGACGATGGCGTTGATCTTGTGGTATCATTTCACTTCCCTTTGCTTTGATTTCCTTCTCATTTATAGAATTTGAAACAGGGCAAGCAAGATTCATGGGGTTTTTTCTTTTCTTGTTTTCATAATTCTTGTTTCAAGAATGTTTGGAAGTGGCTTCTTGCTTCTTCTTGAGCAAGGACTTGTCTTAGTTTAAGAGATGGTTTGTTTTTCTCAGTTGTTTTTTGGGTGTTTTAGATGATTTGACTTGAGTTGGAGGACTATTACTAAAACTAGAATGGGGAGGGATTGATCTTTGTGTAAGAGGCTGTTAGTTTGTAGGTTGTTTCTTGGAACTCCTTATGATGAAGGTTACCTCTTAAGTTCATTGGGTGCTTGAAGACTGATACTAAAACTCGAATGCACAGAGACTTATGTTAGTATACGAGGTGGTTTACTTGTTTTAAGTTATTTTTGTGGAGATACTTTGATTTGGAGATGGAGAGACAGAGTGTAACAGCTCAAGTTCACTGTTAGTAGATATTATTCTCCTATTTGGGTTTTCCCTTTCGGGTTTTTAAAACGCGTCTGCTAGGGAGATGTTTCTACACCCTTATAAAGGAATGCTTCGTTCTCCTCCCTAAACGATGTGAGATCTCACAATCCACCCCCCGGGTTTAGCGTTCTCGTTGGCACTCGTTCCCTTCTCCAATCGATGTGGGACCCCCCAATCCACCCCCTTCAAGGCTCAGTGTCGTTGCTGGCACATTGCCTTGTGTCCACCCCCGTCGGGGCTTAGCCTCCTTGCTGGCACATCGCCCGGTGTCTGGCTCTGATACCATTTCTAACATCCCAAGCCCAACGCTAGAGATATTGTCCTCTTTGGGCTTTCTCTTTTGGGATTTCCCTCAAGGTTTTTAAAACGCGTTTCCTAGGGAAAGGTTTCCACACCCTTGTAAAGAATGTTTCATTTTCCTCCCCAACCAATGTGGGATCTCACAGAGAGATAGACCGAGACCTCCTTATGATATCTACTTCTTAGTTCTTGGGTTGCTAGAAAAGTCTAATGCTAAAACAAGAACAGGCAGACATTTTTCTTAGTAGGGAAGATGGTTAGTTTTTAACTTAGTTCTTAGGGTGTTATACATAGGCCCCGTTTCATCCTTAGAATCGTTAATCGTAGTCATTTGTGTACTATGCGGTCAAAAAGACTAATGACATATGCATTGAAGTTGAGGCTGTGTAAAGAGACTCTAGAGACTATTCTAGTGTCTAATGGTTAACTTAGGTTCTTTTTCCTCGATTTTGCACTTCTTACGAAGTTCTTATATGGGGTTTGATTTGAGACCCTCGTGTTTATATTGTTTTCGCCGGTAGAAATTGCTGCTGATCCAATATTTTTGTTTGAATTCTAGATAAAGGGTCCTTCTGGCGAACATCTTCACGATTTCCGTGACAAAGCTAGTGAAAAGCATGAATTTATTGCTCACAACAAAGGTCTTCATCGATTCTGCTTCACGAACAAGTCCCCATACCACGAAACCATCGACTTTGATGTGCACGTTGGTCACTTTTCATACCACGAGCAGCATGCGAAAGATGGTAAGATGCCATTCCCTGTTTTATCATGTACTGACCTTCCTTCACGAGTTAATATCAATCTCAAAACTGGTGCTTGTGCCTGCAGAGCATTTCAACCCTTTGTTGGATCAAATATCTAAGTTGGAGGAAGCTCTTTACAATATTCAGTTTGAACAGCATTGGTTAGAGGCTCAGACCGATCGCCAGGCAATAGGTAATGTTGACGAACATGTCTCAAACTTGAATAATTTCCACGGCATCAACTTATGAATTTAATTGACTATTCAAAAAGAAGTTGTGAGAAAACACATCGGTTGGAGAAAATAACGAAGCATTCCTTACAAGGGTGTGGAAACCTCTCCCTAGCAGATGCATTTTAAAACCTTGAGGGGAAGTCCAAAAGGGAAAGCCCAAAAATGACAATATCTGCTACCAGTGGGTTTGGACTATTACAAATGGTATCATAGCCGACCACCGGGCAGTGTGCCAGCAAGGACTCTAGGCCTCCAAGGGGGTGGATTGTGAGATCTCACATCTGTTGGAGAGGAGAATGAAACATTCCTTATAAAGATGTGGAAACCTATTTCTAGTATCAAGCCCAAAAAGGAAAAGCTAAAAAAGGACAATATCTGCCACGTTGGTTAATAGGCATTATTCAAGCACCAATGATCATCATGATAGTAGCTTTCTTCTTCAACATGGTTGCTGATACCCTGTTAAGACTTAGAAGTTTTAAGCATTATTTTTTGTACCATGATTAATGGCATTTCTTCATCATGGTTGCTGATACCCTGTTAGACTAGGCTCAATGTGGAGAGGAGCTCATTGTTTAGGCTTGGATTGGGTAAGAAGACTTTAGATCTAAACCAATGGTTCGAATTGCATTAAGACAATAGATCCAACTCTAACCCAACGTATAGTTCGGGTTGAGTTGATATAGTTTTTTTTTTCTTTTTTCTTTTGTGCACTCTTAGCTTGGTCCATGGCAGATGGGTCTCTAAGGCAAGCAGCCAAAAACCTTCATAATGAGAACTTTGTCGTTTCCTGTTTGATCTCGATTCTGGCTGTTGAACAGCTAGCCGATTGAAACGACGAAAACCCGTGACGTATTTTGTGGTATGGTTTGATTGCAGTGAATGATGGAATGAGCAAAAGGGCAGTCCACAAGGCAATGTTTGAATCAGCAGCATTGGTAGGGGCCAGTGTTCTCCAAGTCTACTTGCTGCAGCGCTTGTTTGAAAGGAAGCTCCGGACATCCAGAGTTTAATGACAACCATATAAAAGCTTTGGACATCTTTTCCTATTTATGGTTCTATAATAAATTTACCCTATAGAGATTAGTTGCTAATTGGTTTTCATATTATTTTTTTCTCCTCTCGTTGCGTTATGCAGCTACTTTTCACCATGCTTGCCTTTTTCGTACCTTAAGTTATGTTCGGATTTGCAATTTAGAAGTTACTTTTGTGGAAAAAAACAATATTGAAGGACTTGGGTGCCAAATCAAGAGGGCATATTTGTTTCTTTGCGATTATGGGTATGGGTGTTCAAATGACTTGAGAACCCGACCAACCCGAATTACCCTACCTAAACTATAAAGGTTGGGTTAGTTCTTTTTTAGGTTTGGGTTGGGTTGAATTATTGGAAAATTGGAAATTTGGTTCATTCCAAGTTGTCAACTTAACCTCCAAGTTGTCAACTTAACCGGTTCAAAAATAGAATTACAATCCAACCCTAGGTTTAAAGATTATTATTAGGTTTAAGATTATTATGAGGTTTGGCGAATATAATAGAATTTTTTACATAATTAAAAAAAATAGCCCAACAACTAACTCAAAAATATAGAATAATGAAATAAAAATCTTGCTTTTAAAATAATGCTTTCAAGAAATTTGGCCAGTATATTAATAAATATGGGTTGAAAATTATATTCAAAATTGAAACATTAACATCAAATATGAGGATAGAAAAAAAGTGGGCAGAATATAATTTATCCTCAAAAAGGAAATAGAAACAGAGATTAAAAAGAAAAACAAAGGGTAGAATATTCCATTACACATCCAATCAACAACCTAGAATTATGCTAAAACAAATCAAAGCCAAATAACAAAGGAAGAATATTTCACTTTGTTCTGGTAGCTAAATAAAATACACTTCGCCCTTATTAAATACGAAACCAACTGAAAGTGGAACTTTGCGGATAAAATTCATATTATTCTGATCATACACTTTAAGCTTTGACAAATTAACAAAAAGTTCTACTTTTCCAGACCCCTAAGGCTAAGGCTATCACCATCATCAGGGTAAAATATAAGATAACAAGTTACTACCAACCAACCCATGTGATCCGACAACGTTATCTTGTCGACGCTTCGAGACTGGAACAGGCTTCACACGAGCTCCAACACAAGAGCAGATGCACCACCTCCACCATTGCAAACACCTCCAACTCCATATTTCCCACCTTTCTGCTTTAGTACCTATAAAATGAGATATATGTTTGTTGTTAATGGGTTGTATATCTACTTTCATAGACAAGCAAAAGGATGGTAATGGCAGGCTTGAAATGAGAGTAAGTAGGATAGAGAGATGTTGTGGAACATTGCAGAGATTTAGATGAATTACCCCCAAAAGCGTGACCAAGATACGAGCACCACTGCAACCTAGAGGATGTCCCAACGCCACGGCTCCACCGTGCACGTTCACTTTATCCTGTACATGAACAAATAAAAGGAATTTAGAACAGTGATAAGAAAATAATCACAAGGAAGAAAGATAAGGTAGCACATTTAAAATGACTAGCTAAATGCAAGTCATATTCCAATTATTCAATTCATGTGAGGCCATAGAAGGGCATAGAAATATTAGCCAATATCAAAAGACAACTACACCAACAAGAAGGTAAACTCACAGGAGAGATTCCAAGCAATTTCTGATTGGCAAGAGCCACAACCTACATAAATTATGATCACATGGGTTATACGAGAATTTGATGATCAAGGTTCTAAAAACTGATGATTTCATGCTTGTCCCTAAAAATCTTACAGCAAATGCTTCATTTATTTCGTAGAAATCAATTTGTGGAGCTTCTAAGCCTGCATGGGAAATGGCCTTTGGAACTGCGAGGGACGGTGCAGTTGTGAAAAATTCTGGCTCCTGCATATCAATTCCCCATATTAATAGTACAAAGTGCTTTGATGATCAGAAAGCAGAAAGCAGAAAGCAATAACTAAAACTAATACAAGAATCCGGACTTACATGGGCTGCATCAGCATATCCTTTGATTTTTGCAATCACTTCCAGCCCAAGTTCTAATGCCTTCTTCCCGCTCACTAGAACTATGGCGGCAGCACCATCGCTGTCATTTTAAAATTTTCCAACTTTCAATGTAAGTTCGATTGATCCTTTGGCATAACTTATCCATATAAAGAACAGTTTTCCTTTACCTTATGCTGGAAGCATTGCCTGCAGTTACGGTACCTCCATTCTCCTTAAAACTTGGTCGAAGCTTCCTCAATTTCGCAGGGTCAAACTGTATTACATATAACATTTAAAAGAAAATGAGAAGACAAAAAAAAAATTGTTTTCAACACAAATGTATACCAGTTTGCTAAAGAATTCTAAAATCATTTCCATTACATCATGACCCCTTTGAGTTGAGCACGTGATGAACAAATTTTGTACATATATATGCTTTTTTGTTTGAAAACTGTACACACATGCATAGTGTGTTGAGGATTGTTAGGAAGAAGTCTGACATTGACTAATTAAGAAGATGATCGAGGATTTATACGTAAGAAATACATCTCCATTGGTATGAAGCCTTTTGGGAGAAACCAACAGCAAAGTCATGAGAGGTTATGCTCAAAGTGGACAATATCATACTATTGTGGAGGTTCGTGATTCCTACTCGAAAAACAGTATTATGCATAAATGAATGAAATGGGAGTACCTTTCCAAGACCCTCATCCGAATTGACAATAGTCGATGGCTTTCCCCTCCCTCCAGAAACTTCAACCTGCAAGTCTACATAGATGTAAGACTCATAATTTTCAACCAGAGAAAAAGGCATGCAGTGATATGGAGGGGAATCCAACCGGAACAATTTCCCATTCAAAGGCACCGCTGTCCTTGGCAGCAATACCTCGCTCAAAGCTCTGAACAGCGAAGTCATCCTGCATGAAATCCAGATGTAAAGATGTTTACAAAATATAATAAAAAAGAATCACAAACTCCAAAATGCATCAAAATCAATACCTGAGCCTCCCTTGTAATTTGATATTTGTCTGCACATAACTCTGCACAATTTCCCATTCCAGAGTTCGAATAGACATCCCATAGACCATCTTTCAGCATTCCATCAACAAGAGAATCATGTCCTAGACGAGACCCCTTCCTGCAAATTAGCATGAAAATAAGTTACATTATGCTTAGAGCTCAGGCCACCATGAATGGGTTGAAATTTAGAATAGAAAAGCAACCTTGCTTCTGCTAGGTACTTCGGTGCATTTGACATGCTTTCCATCCCACCAGAAACAACAACATCATTGATGCCTAACTGGATACTCTGTGCAGCGAGCATTGTCGCTGAAATAATAATAAAAAATAAACGTTGTCAGAATACTATTAATAACGTTTTACATTAGAAATCTGTAAGGAGATGGAAAATCTTGGAATGAACACAAGAGTGCGAACCTTTCATCCCTGACGCACAAACTTTGTTGACAGTGGTACAGATCACTGAATTAGGTATTCCTGCACCTAAAGCAGCTTGTCTGGCAGGAGCCTGCCCCAAATTTGCACTCAGAACATTGCCAAAGATGACTTCTTGTACAAGTGCAGGATCAACTTTAGCCCTTTTAAGTGCAGCTACAAGTCATCAAAGGGAAAAATACTTCAGCATTGGTTCACTCCATTTACATAACAGGAGAAAAATGGGTATCACAATTACCTTCAATTGCTATAGATCCCAACTTGGTGGCTGGTAAAGATGATAAGCTGCCGAGAAATCCACCCATTGGCGTGCGTGCAACACCAACTATGCAAACATCTAGACAGCCAAGTATCGAACATTACAAAAACAAACCCATCACAGAAATGCAATAAGTGTGATTTTTCTGCGTCTGCTTGCACGGATGACTTAACTAAAAACACTAGGCTTTGATTAGCTATTTTCACTGGAAAGCAAGTGAAGTACCTCTTGGATTTATAGAGTCTGCTGATGCTGCTGCCGCTGGAGCCATGGTATGCCAAAGAAGAAAACCTGTGCCATTAACAAATTTCAGCGCTTCTGAGTTCTGAAACCAATAACAGTAAGACAGATCTTACACCATCTCAGTCAAATACGAACAAATTTTATAAATGAATCGCTGATTAAAAGAAAAAAACATAAATATCCAAGTGCTCATGTAACCTCTTAATCCCTTTTTTTCTTCATCTCATTAAAACAAAACCATGGGCTCGCCAAAAATCATTAATTTTGAATATGTGCGAAAGCTGCATAATAACGTGGAAGCATCCAGGGAAAATGTTAACCGAATAATATCCTAAATTCTAATCAATCAGGGACATTTAAATACAGACCACTAGGAAAAACATCTAAAAGATTAAATAACTTGTCCTCTAATGGAAATTACTAGATTTTCCCCCAAGTTAAGAGAATACACGCACAAGTAATTTATAAAAATTCCACAATAAAACACATTTACTAAAGTTGGAAGTCAATTAAAGTGTAATTATTGAAGGTGGACATAGCTAAACTAAACTTCCTGATATGGGCATCAGCACAGTTTATTAAATTCAACCAAGTTCCTTCGCCAGTTAAGGAAAAGAAACAAGTATATACAAATTCGTATTTTAAAACCACTTACAAATTCATTTTTCCAAGTACAAAAGGAGATTTGAACCTCTAAACTCAAATGAATGAATACATACTAATTATTGATGAACTATACTAATTAGTGCTCAACTATACTTCACGAATTTAGAATCATCCGGTTGTTTTAAAAAAAAAACACTATATTCAAATAGCTCATCTCTTAAAAACGCTTTAGACAAGGAGTTTAACTTCAATGCTGATAAATACGTGCATCAAACTCGCTAGTAATAATTAACTACCGACTCATTTCACCCATTCTAAAAAATTAAACCAATCGGATCACATACGCATCCAGAAGACCAGAACGTCCATCATCATTCAACTCTAAATCATCCAAACAGCACAGAAAGAAGAAATGAAGCAAGATCTAAAACACAAACACAAAAAAAACC